TGCAAAAGATAAGTGTGTGAAGGATGCCAATCAAAGGATATTAATGGAGGACGGAGAGATAAAAGAGAGATGGAGGTCATACTTTGATACACTATTCAACGAGAACAAAGCGCAAGATATCAGTGATTTGACCATACCAGATTGTATGGTAAATCGTGATTTTGTGAGAAGGATCCAGGCAACGGAAGTTAAAGAAGCTCTGAGGAAGATGGGGCGGAAGAAAGCAGTGGATCCAGATGGCATACCGATCGAGGCTTGGAGAAGTTTGGGAGAGAGAGGCGTCGAGTGGTTAACAAGTTTCTTCAACATGATTTGGAGAAACAACAAGATGCCAACAAGTTGGAGGAAGAGTACTCTAATCCCCTTATTTAAGAATAAAGGTGATGTACAAGAATGTGCCAACTATCGAGGGATTAAGCTTATGAGTCACACCATGAAACATTGGGAGCGAGTGATTGAGCAAAGATTTCGAAGAACTGTAAAGATTTCAGAGAATCAATTCGGTTTTATGCCTAGTCGCTCAACATTTGAGGCCATTCACCTTCTTCGACAACTTATAGAGAAGTATAGAGACGCTCACAAGGATCAGCATTTGGTGTTCATTGTCTTAGAAAAGGCATATGATATGGTACCTCGAGAAGTTCTTTGGTGGGTCTTAACTAGAAAAGGCATATCACACAAGTATAGCAGCTTCATCATGGATATGTATGAGGATTGTACTACAAGTGTTCGTACTAGTGTAGGGAGGACTGAAGACTTCCCTATTACAAGTGGAGTGCACCAAGGATTGGCTCTAAGCCCTTTCTTAATTGCCATAGTCATGGATGAACTTACGAAGTCAATTCAAGACGATATACCGTGGTGCATGATGTTTGCCGATGATATTATATTGATTGATGAGACGCAATCAGGTCTTAAACAAAAGTTGGAAGTATGGCGAAAAACATTGGAGAACAAGGGTTTCAGACTAAGTCGGAGCAAGACAGAGTACATGGATCATCACGTTGCTCGAGGATCGAGCCGTGGTCGTCTAAACACCGAGAGCGGGGCATCATAGTATTTTTTCTTCTTTTTTTTCTTGTTTTCTTTTCTTTTCTTTTCTTTTCTTTTTTTTGGCCGCCGCCCGTTCATTTCCAAGTGAGGTCGGACCTCATTAAATTCCAGACCGGAAAACGAAATATTTTTTTAAGTAATGAAAGAATTTGAGAACTTGAAGAGTTGCTTAGAGTTCTACACTTGATTTAAAATTTGTGATGATCCGCTCATAGAATGTGAGAGAGTTGATTTGCGCTCCACACTTGATCTACCAGCTCGTGATGCTCCGCTCTTAGGATTTGACAAGGTGCCCTGCGCTCTGCACTTGATCTACAAGCATGCAGTGCTCCGCTCATAGAATTTGACAAGGTGCCCTGCGCTCCGCACTTGATCTACAAGCTCGTAGTGCTCCGCCCATAGATTTTGACCAAGTGTCCTGCAATCTACACTTGATCTAGACGCTTCCCTGTCGTGGTCTTCAACTTGTAAAATCGTTCGAGAGCCTTGCACCGAACTTGATCTCCCATTCCTTCTCTCAGGGTTGACTGGATTTCTTCAACTTCAGAGGTGAGTTCAGCGCAGAACTGACCCTTCTCATACTTGTACAACATTGTTGTTGATGGTATGGACCCTTAGGTCTCTCTGCCCGAACTGCTTGCACGCCTTTGTGGAACGGCTTCGCTTTGCAAGGTTTGTAATCCCTTAGCAACGGTCCTCCTCGGGTCTTCATGAATAGCTCTGTGTTGCAAGGTCTGTACGCCTTTAGCAACGGTGCTTCCAGGCTTTCGCGTAACAGCTCCTCGTTGCAAGGTCTGTACCCCTTTAGCAACGGTGCTTCCATGCCTTCGAGTAACAGCTCCGCATCGCAAGGTCTGTACCCCTTTATCAACGGTGCTTCCATGACTTTGAGTAACAGCTCTGCGTTGTAAGGTCTGTACCCCTTTAGCAACGACGCTTCTAGTCCCTTGATTAATAGCTCTGCGTTGCAAGGTCTGTACCCCTCTAACCGATGCTTCTACGCATTCATGCGATAACTTCGCGTTGCAAGGTCTACCCCCTTCGTCGACAGTGCTTCAACATGGTACGAGTGAATGGTTCTGGGATGTGGAGGTTGGCCACATATTGCCCTCCCCCGATGACCCTTCTCCTCAACTCGTCCAGCCTTAGCCTCAGATCTTCCACTGCATCAGGTGTCGGTTCTTCTCGTGTGCATCCAACGCGGAACTGAACTTGCATAGAAGACTTTGCAACCCTCTCGCGTAGGTGAGGTTGAGAGCCAGCATGTCGTCCGTCCAGGGAAGCTGCCCGCCTACCCGGTCGACGGGAGTAATAAGACGAATCGTCCCCTCCTTCCCAGGATGAGTGTTGCCGGGAGGGCCTCCTTCTTGGCTGTCGTGGCTGCTCAACTTGCCGAGACACACACTCCCTTTGAGATGCGTCTGTGCTGGCACGTCTCCCTTCGCACCGTCTGGAGGACGCTTCCAAGTTTCTAGGGGTGATGTGACTCGAACGCACGTGCTCCGCCTCCTGCGACATCAATCTCCGGAATCCCTAAGCCAAATCCTCAATAGCACGAGTAGCCTCCTGAAGTGCTTGCATCTCAGCATCAAGCGATGTCGAGTTCCTATGCGGCGCATGATCTGGTTCACTCCGGTCGGATTTTAGTTTTTTTATTTCCTTATTTATCGTCTTCACCTTTGCCTGAATGCTGCTGCTTGGACGTCCCCACCACTGTTCCTTGGTTCATTCGCTTGAGATTCGACCACCGGTCGTCTTCCCCGACCAACTTCTGGAAAAGAGAAACAACTTAGTCCGTATTCTGGTCGTCTTCACATCTCACAGTGAGCACCATGCTCCAGACCGGCACCATGAGATGTGAAGACGACTGGAATACGAACTAAGTTCTTTCTCTTTTCTGGAAGTTGGTCGGGGAAGACGACCGGTGGTCGAATCTCAAGCGAATGAACCAAGGAACAGTGGTGGTGACGTCCAAGCAGCAGCATCCGGGTAAAGGTGGCTGCATATAGTCGGTGATGTAGAGGCAAAGCTCTGAGAAGAGGACCAGACCTTGAACAACCTTCTTTGACTTTGCCGGAAGTTGGCCGAGTAAGATGACCGACGTTCGTATCCCAGGTGGCCAGACCGATTACTGCAAGGAAAGGAAATAGGGGAGAAAGAGAGAGAGAAAAAAATAGAGAAGAAAAAAAGAAATAAGGAGAGAGCAAGAAAAGAATTGAAGGCAAGGGAGATGGAGTCCAGAGAAGAAAACTAAATGTGGAAGAAATAGAGAATAAAATAAAACGAAAAGGAAAACAAAAAGAAATGGGAAAAAATTAAAATCCACGTCATGGCCACTCAACAAATTAACCGGAAACCGGGAAGTTACCGGTAAAAAGGGCAATTTAAACTTTGTATATGTGTTCATGAGTTTAATTGAGAGTTATTTGAGTTGGTGGACTTAATTAACATTTCACATTAGTAGGACGACCTATTTGACACTTTTCCCTTTAAAAATTTTATACTTAAATGAAAATATTTTGAATAAGAAACATTTTGATATAATTTTCATTTTCAAAATATTTTCGTATTGAGAAATAACATTGGTCAAAGTTGATTGTCATTGATCAAGAAAAGTCAATTTGGTGAATCTTTCCTGGAAGTATTAAAGTACAAGCCACACGTTCTCACCTATTTTCTCACTCTACTTTCTAATTTTTTTATGTTTTTTTTGACTTGTTTCTTGTTTAATTTTATGAGTTTAGACTTTAGACCACTCGGGAGCTTCATTGCATTCGTATTTATCGTAAATACAAGCAACTTTCGCTTTCTGACAGAATTGGGAAAAATAATAAAAATATCCCAAGCTTTGAAGGGGTGTGAGATGAACATCCCAAACTTGCATATGTAATTTAAATACCCAAACTTTATATAAAAAGTAATTCCACACCATTGTCATGTATTATTTCTTTCAAAATCGTAAATTTATGGGGTTAATTGCACAATTTAAAATAGCAAATTAGAAGTGTTACAATTATATAGATTGGGGGTAACATTAGGAGTGGACTCGGGCCGGGCCAACCAACCCGGAACCAGACCAGCCCGCTACTATGCGGGCCCGGACCGGCCCGGTGAACCGGTTGGTGCCCGGTTTGGGCCACCCGGCCCGGTGAGGTAGGCGGGCCAGGACCGGGCCTCCTAAATCGTGAACCAACCCGATCCGGGCCAAATTATTTTAAGTTTTTGGGTTGGGCTGGGTGCCTGGGTATGATGGATCATTTGAGGTGGTTTGGGGTGGTTTGGGGGTGAGGGGGGAGGGTTGGGGGTTAACTAGGAAAAGCCAAAAAAAAAAATATAAGAACCGAGGCCCGGCCTGGCCCGGACCCGGGGATTACACGGGCCGGTTCCGGGCCTCCCCTTTCATGAACCTAGACCCGGCCGGGCCCAAGCCTGAACCGGACCCGAACCGGAACCGATCCACCCCTAGGTAACATTATTAATTTTGCGATGGAAGATTAGAATGGTAATTGTGTCATCGTGAATTCTAAAATATTTTAAATTATGCAATTAACACAATAAATTTGCATTTTTGAAAGAAATAATACTTGATTATGGTGCTAAAATAACTTTTTATATAAAATTTAGGGTATTTAAATTACACATGCAAGTATGGGGTATTCATCTCACATTCCTTCAAAATTTGGGGTATTTTAATTATTTTATGGGCAATTTTTAGATCTTTTAAGCTACATGATCGGTTGGGACTTGGGAGCACATGTAGGGGATAAACCCAGTCGGGCCGTCGGGGGTGGCATGCGGCTATTTTGCCTAGATGCCAAACTGGTGTTTCAGCTTTGAGCCAAATCGGGTTTGGGTTCGACAGTTCCTCCCACACAGACCCGGACTGTACCGGCTCCAATTTAAGAAAGACTAAAAACCCATCCGGAACAGAATCGAGAACCGAATGGGAACAGTTCAGACCGGAACCAAACCTGTAACAACAGCCTCTTCTGATTCCGGTTACGGGTGGCGCTACAATTGACATGCAACCAGGCCCATCTTCTGTACATATTAAGGTTCTATTCTAGAACCAAATAGTCCAATCCCCTAGCTAGTGATACAAGGGGAGCTTTATTTTATTGCAGAAGCTCAATGACCATACCAAGGTGTTACATTATGTTCTTTCCTGTGGATTGGCAGAGGACACGGCAGATTTTACCAACATATGACAGAGCCAAGCATCGTCCTCTTCATCTTATCGGTCTTTGAACAGGTCGACTTATTTAATCTGGCAGATCACAAGGACAAAAGGATGAACCCTGGATTTCCATTATGTAGCTTGTGGAAGTTGCCAGGATGGCGACACAGGCCCAATATCATATATAATTTCTCTATGGCAAGACCAGACCAGCTTTATTGCTTCTGGTGTTCCGATTCCCGCACCTCTTGGATCTCCGGCCGGACCAAACCTGCAAAGTATTAAAGCTCTTTAAAAATATAATACCTCAGTTCCAAAAACAAGTTCACACTTTTTTATCGGATGTCCTAACATGAAGTTCTCGTTTTCATTAAAAGAATTATTTAATTGGCATATGTTCTTTTATCGTTTATCTTCTATATTTTTTTATGTTCTTATGTTATTTTTATCCTATAGTTTTTTATGCTCTTTTATCTTTTAATCTTTAATCTTTCTTATATTCTTACGATACTCTCATCTTATAATTATTTATCTTTATCGTATTCGTTTTTTTCTCTTCTCTGTCTTCTCTTTTTGGCATCGATATCATGGATCGATTCATGTTAGCCAACCCCAATATGTTTTGGGATTAAGGCTTGGATGTTGTTGTTGTGCATATGTCATAATCACCTTTACTTTTTGCTTCATTTGATATAAAGGGTCATCATTATCAATACCCCAGTGCCGCAAAGGCTCCCACCTACGGTAGGGTAAGAGGGGTCGGATGTACGCAGTCTTACCCCTGTACTAAAGGGGGAGAAACTGTTTTTGGATGACCCATGGTAAAAATCACATCCAAAATTGCATGGACTGAATGCTGCTTCATAACAAAAAAGCGCAGACATTTCAGTGAACCATTTTGCTTTATTCCATCATATTCTCAAGCCAAAAAATAATGAATCTTTGGCTCTATAAAGGGTATAATTAGAAATTCAAAACAAAACTTGAACTTGCACAAATATGTGTAGTCAAACTGGAAACTTGTTTTTGGTACGGAGAGTGGGAGAGTATATACTTAGAAGCAGTGCCAACCAAAAAGCCAACTGAACTCTCATAGATTAGCAATCTAGTTTCCACTAACCAGTGATTTTGCGGTGCCCCTGTTGTTCTTGCTCTGATTCCGGCATATGTAGTCCCATTGACAGAATTACCAATTACTTCCTGCATATTAATGTTATTATTCATTTTGAGAGAAGGTACTATAGTATTTAGTTCATTGAGCCAATCAATGGGTAGCCAATTGTAAAACAGGGCTTTGGCAATGCTTGTAAATGTCATGCAAGTTTTTTCATTCGAAGCGACAAAATCAGAGGAAGTATACTATGTGACAGTTTTTATTTTCTGGAAAAGGTTTTCCCCACCTTTTATGCGATTGTATTTAAACTCCTGTTGGTAAAAGAAAACAGATTGAATTGTACCCAGGTGGATATCACTTGTCTATCTTGTTTATGAAAACTTGCACGCTTTGAAATCTAATAGAATATGGTAATATGCTTACTTGTAAGAACAGTTGATCGTTTGAAACTACAGCAGCGGTTAAATTTGCATGCATCCTTTCAAGAGCATTCAGGACCATAGGCAGTTGATCATTTTTGTATTCCGTGACAATCTGCCAACAAAACTCATACACGTAGTATATAGCAGTGCAAAAAATAGTTGGAGGAGACTATGACATCTTGCAACAAATTCATATCTAAATCATCACAATGTTTAAATAAATAAAAACCTATTACCTGGAATGGGCCAAAGATTTCTCTCGTGACAAGATCGTAGTTTTCATCCTTCAAGATTTCTTCGAGAGGAACGAAAACTGCAGTTGGTTTAATGGCACCATAAATTGAAGGTATGGAATGGTTTTGCAAGGGTTCACCACCAAAGAGAAGCTTCGATCCTGGTACCTTCAGCAATTTATTCATGTGCCCCAACATTGCTTCAGTAGAAAACTGCAAAAATAATCCAAAAAGACTGTCACAACTTTATTGCTGGGAAAATGAAACCTGAAATAACAAATTTGGTAAGGGGCAGCGCAATACTTTTCCCATTCAAGCTAATGTACACACCTTAGTATACGCCATGTAGTAGCACTTTTCATTTAAAAAGAAATGAAGAATTAAAAATAGCTTGAGGGTAAATTTCCCCTTTTACCCAAAGAAGTTAAATTATAAGTAAGAAATGTAAAACATCCTTTATTTTTAACTAAAAGATAAACCTAGGTGAACATGTATCATTGTCAAGGTTCATTTATGGTGAAAAAAATAGGAGTATTGAATAGAGTGGATTTTTTTTTTTGAAAAAATTATACTCCCTTCGTCCCAATTTGATGGTCTCATTTCTTTTGGGCACAAGTTTTAATAAAGTGATTGAAAAGGTAAAAGTTGTGGTTGAGATTTGAGTATAATAAAGTGAAATGATATGGACCACATCTTTCTTTCCAAAAAGGGAAACAGGACCATCATTTTGGGACATCCCAAAAAGGAAATACAGGACCATCATTTTGAGACGGAGGTAGTATTAGATTAGTCTTACAAACAAATTATTCAATCACAAAACGAACTCCTAAAATTAGTAGAAGCGCATACCGTGAGGACCGGACCAATGGTTAAGTCGTCCAACTTTCTCCTTGCAGCAAGCTCACTCATTAAGTTGATGAGGGGACTTCGACCCCAATTCTGCCCAAAAGATATGAACACAGGAGATTTTACTCTACCTTATAAAAATTACACACAACAAAACATAATTGAGTGAACTGATAAAGAAGAAGTAAAAGACAGGTGAGAATAAGACTAGCACACAAACCTCATGCATAAAAAGTATTGATTGAGCTGAACACTTCTGGCCACTGCATGCATAAGCATCTTGATCGCAAACCCAAGCAACGTAATCCACCTGCCAAACATATATATGAGCATTGTGTCAAATAATACGACTCTCACCCATATGATGCACTCACAACTTGCAACTTAATTATTTCTGAAGTAATAGATTGTTTATGCAGAAAAATAATGGCCTAACCGCAATGGGAATGTGGAAGGGAAATCCTAGGGTTTCTAAGCCTAGAGTTACTACATTTGTCTATTTCAACACGATGCATCATATTTGAAATTTAGAGACACATCATAAAACATTGTCTATGTTCATAGCATAGACCTCGTAAACATCAGGGCCAAGGATCTTCCAGTCAAATCCAGCATCTTCCAGCTTTATGCGACCTTTAAGGTCCCCAGCTAACTTCTCTGCTACTCTCGAGCTACCAGTGAATAGAGTCATGCGTGGTTTCCCCTAATGATTACAGTTCAAAGGATTGTGTCGGGTAAAATAAATAGAGAAACCAAATTAAAACATTTTTCCTCAAGTCAGACCAGAGGCATGAATTATAAGTATGTGAGACATAGTACAAGTGATTATAACTTCTCGCATGTAAAACAAACTAAAAAATGCCAAAGAAAAAATTATACAAAATATTTCATCATTTCATGTATACAAATTATTATAAACAATAATAATAGTATTGATTATTATTATATTACTCCGTATTATTACTATTATTATTATTATTACAATAATTACAACAATAACAACTAGTACATCAACAATATAACAACAACAATAAGAAGAAGAAGAAGAAACATGGTGCCATAGATAACATAAATTACGAGAATTATAAGGAAATCTTGCTCTTCAGGGATAAGAACATAAGTATATAATTTACACAGAAAACTTTAAAACTGTAACGAACTATGAACTATTCAACTCATAAACAACAAAAACATAGAAGAGGATGATGAGATGGAGGGCTTGCCTAAATACAACTCAAGTATCCTAGTCCAGCATATGAAATAAAAATGAAAATAGCAATGAAGTGTGAAAAAGAAATTCAGAGACAAAGTGACCGCTAGCTTCCTAGCTAGCTAGCTAGCTAATACAAATATCAAATCTCAGTGATTCATTCATTTATTCATTATTGCTTTTCCTTATGACTAATTATAGATCTTTGATTTTTTATTTGATGTAATTAAGGCAAGGGCCTACTCTAATTGCAAACAAATTTGAGTGTTTGATCACTTGATGTTTAAAGCATGACAATAAAATTCCATCATAAATAAAGCACGGCATTTCCACTGGATATATATCTTGGATCTAGAGATGTCAAAAGTCAGTAAGATGTAAATCTTTCTCTTAATAACTACAACTAATTAAAAGCATAGTAAGATTGCAATACGATTGGAGGGTAGTGATAGCAAAAACTGAATTTGGCAATACACTACAGAGAAAACTGTTCAAAGGACAATAGAAATGAATTTGGATTGAAACCAGAACTGTTACATCAAGTGGACCGCCCTGCAATATATTTCCTAATAAGAACTAGATTTAGGAAACTAACCTCCAAAAGCAGTTTGTTCATAGTCTCTCCATCAGAATTTAAGAAATCAACATCCTCCAATGGTAGCCCACAATCATGAAGCAGACGTAGCATTTGTTCCATTACGATGCACACCTGATGAAAAAGTAAATAGAACCCATGACATCATAGTAAATGAGTTGAAATATCATATTTATCTGTTTTTGTCTTTGTGAAAGACCATCCTTGTTAAATAGAGGAGCTATTGTGCACTTTGAGATGATGACAAGAAACTTGAACAGTTATACCTTGCTATCAACTTTAAGAACAGGCTTATTTCCCATATATAATGCACCCATCAGCTGAAGTACAGGAATCTCCAAGGGAAAATTAAAGGGAGTAACAATTGCCACCTAATAAATAAAAACAAATATAGCCCTTCATGAAAAATATTGAATATCCTAAATGGCTAAATGAGGGCACAGACAGAAAGTAAGTTGATGTGAAACATAAGATGCTCATAAGATCATAATAGAATAACTGAGTATGTTGAGAAAGATATGAGCCAACGTAGGCCTGGGACCGGTTCGGTTCTTACTCAAAAATAGTGGAACCGTTATTTAAATTTTAACAAATGAAATCGGTTCGGTTCCTATATAAAAAATCAAGAACCAATATGGAACCGAACCAATACTAAACGGTTCGGTTCTTGCTTTTATCGGTTCCTAGAATAATTTTTTTCGTGTAAGAATTAACACATAGTTTAGCTTATACCACATGAAAACGTCAAAAAGTTAAAACAAGTCATAAACATTTATTTAGAGTTCTAATCACTCCAAACATCAAAGTTCAGACTAAAGTGAACACTTAATAGAATAAAAAGAAGATTTTAATTTTCATTTAATACATAAAATATAAAAATCGTTCGTTATGTCGTTGAAATGAAGGTTGCTCATCATTATAGTGGCAAGGATAGGACGTACACTTTATGCCTCTCAAAACCTAGAAATACATTGAGTTTGCATGTACATCCTATTGATGGAACAAAACTTGATTTGTAAAAATGAGCTTAATGTATTCAACCTCATGTGCAAATATTTATTATTTTTGTTTTTATAGATTAAACTAAATTAAAATTATTGGCTAAATATCATTCATTTATTATTATTGTTGTTGTGTTTATTTTTGTTATATTAGTATTACTACTAATACTACTACTATTATTTTTATTTTTTATTTTTATATTTTTAATATCAGTTCCTTAACGGTTCCGTGCATATATTTTTTATAGGAACCAGGAACCGAACCGTTAACAACAACTAGGAACCGAACCGTTAACAATTAATATCTCATTTGTAGGAACCGAACCGAACCGGATTATAACTGTTCGGTTCCAACCGATTTAACGGTTCCCGGTTCAAAAATCTCACCCCTAAGCCAACGTGAGTTTAAATGGATGACAAGTAAACTAATTTCAGAGCTAGTCATGTATAGAAGATAAATCAAAGGACGTTCCCATACACAGCCAAATCCCAAAGAAGCCATAGATATGCATCTATAGACATATCTTAGCGGAGCAAGCATACCATGTAACACAAAAACAAAATGATATGACTTGTGGTCTTGTGGATTATGGTGAGCAAAGCCTAGACAGACTCCAAGGAGAAAAGTGTTCCTGTAGTTGACTAAAAATGATGATACATGGATGAGAAAGCCCATTATAGTGAAGGGATTGATTTTAGACTTCCACCATTAATGAATTGTATTTTTCTGGTCAGAAAAATAACCGACTTGATCTTTAGCAATATTTCACAAATATATTGACAATTCAATCAGTATGTCAAAGTAAACGAACTGTTTGGGTGTTTAAATCAAATAAGAGGGTGTGCAGACATGAAAAAATTATCACTGGGACATTTCTGCTGCACATTGTATTGCACTGAATCTAGTGTTTTTATAATTAAATACTTACAGGACCATAAGGCCAGCGAAAACCATGGCTGATCTGTCCCAGATAATTTCCTGGCACTCCAAAAGACCTCGCCAGAAAACGGACCTGCCAAATTGAAATAAAAAAGATTGAGACAAACTTTTAGAATATTATCATATTCTGGAAATTCATCAACGCTTTAATAATTCACATGAGAGAAGGCTATTATATTTTCTCTGGAATCTAAAAATCCAATGAGGCAAAAAAAACTATGTTACACAGTCTAGAATAGTAAAACAACTTAAATAAGCTCAGTCCCCTAATATCTAGTTTGGGTGTTTTATAGTGCATGCATGTCAATATCAAAGCAAATTATGTTTCAGGCTTTCAGCAAATCCTTTTATTTATATCCTCCTCAACTATCATTATCTAGGTAGTTAACTCGCTACTCGGTAGTAACTCGCTCAAGGGCCGAGTAGCGAGTAGGACCGATTACTCGGGATTACTCGGTGACTACTCGGTCTTGTAATTATTAAATTTAATAGCACAGGTGCCTGAGATTATAGAAATATAATAGTCTTAAATTTGTCTTAAAATGCATAGAAATGAATAAAATGATAGAAATCCTAACGATGGAGTAGCAAAAGTCATAAACATTCTAAGTCTTCTAGAAAACTCAATTTTCTGTTCTCTCCCCATGTCCATCCTAAATCATCTGATTTTCTCTTAAGTGTTGGATTAGCATATTCTGTCAATTAGATGATGTATATCAGTGTGTATCGATCAATGATGTGCCATAATAAACATTCAATATAGTGATATTAATTTAAAGTTACGTAGTACGAAGTATAATATATATAGTCATACTAGTGAAAATAATTTATTTATATCAACAAATACGTGTGCATCAATATTAAACAATCAAGATGGTGATATTTTAAGAATGCAGAAAAGAACAATTGGCGAAGAAGGATGGGAGGGTGGAAGAAGAAGAAACGAGAGAGGGGAGAGGGGAAGATACAAGAAAGAGGATGGGAACTTATTGAGAGATCATAGTCACAACTCTGAGGGATAGTAGATGTCAGGAACTCCGTTTAACCTAGGTTTTGTAACTTAGTTTTTCAATTTCAAAGGGGGACCGAGTTAGACCGAGTACTCGCCGAGTTGAAAACTTCACCGAGTTGAGAAACTCGCCGAGTACTCGGCGAGTAACTCGGATATAAAACACGGACCGAGTCAGATAGCTACTCGACAAGGTCGGTACCCGAGTTGCGAGTACTCACCGAGTAGATAACCTAGATCATTATGTCATGCCTTTTAATTTGGGAATCAACAATTCGGCAATGAGTATAGAAGTTAATTCATCTTCCTCTTCTAGATTGATCATATGAACAAATAGCGTGACTCAGAGCATTTGTACCTGATCACCAGAGAAATTTTCTAAAAATTTTTGTGTGACAACAACTTCGCCGAGAGCTTGCTGGTAACTCTTAGGAGCCACCCTCTGTATTAACCTTGTGAAGAAGTCAGAAACCTGGAAACCATTGACCCTCCACCATAATAAGTCACCGGACAAGCAATGGTTCATTAACAATCTAATCTAATAACAGATGTAAAATATCTTAGCTTGAATTGCATTACCTCGGGAAGTGAGAGCATATGAGCTGCCTTTGCAGAGATGTCTCCAAGCATTAGATATCTGCAAAAATGATCTTTGTATAAATTACCATATTTTTTAACTAACTGATTCTACCTCTATGAGTATTAACAAATATGTCACTAGACAACCAAGTTTCTTTCTGGTTTGTTTTGTTTCTCTAGTTAACTCAATGATGATTCTGGGGGGATCAAGATTAATTTTTGCAAACCTTTCTGGTGCTTTAAATGGATTATGTAGGCCATGCTTGGGGCAATTTATCATGCTCTCAACAAATGGCTGCACATTGGAAAGAGAAACATAAGAGGCAGTCTTTAGCAGAAATAAAAGTTTTAACTGTGTAAGACAAATAAGAGAAATAAATCCCTTCTACAACACTTATGCAATAAATATGTTTATAATTTATTAAATAATTCCTTATAACAGAACTGGTGCAGAATGAACAGTGTCTATCTGATTTACTTTGTACCTGCAGTTCTGCTTCTTGTACTTCTGCAACTTTTATAAATGACTCCCCATTTAAGGGATCCAATATTGTGCTATAGCCAGAAGACTTTACCCACTTTCCCTGCACTGGAAAATGAATACACTCCCTTATGTCTCTAAGGCTACACAAGTGCAGTCATTCGGTTTCTCTTTATGCTAACTAAGGAGATGTTGAGAGGAACTAGTCTAATATCAAAACTATAAACAGATGATCCAATAACATATTTTTCTGAAAGAATCACACCTAAAGATAAATGATCTACTAAAAATGTTACTATATCCCACTTCTAGATGTTAACAATAAGTCAATACAAACCGCTTCTAGGTATCAAATCAAATTCCTGTAGATATGTCTATTACATACCCAAGTTGGACACTTCAGCAGGTAGAGAGCCTGATATTTCTTCAACATTTAAAGTTGAAAATTGCATTGAATTGCTGCCATGGGACTGGGAATGTTTGGCCCTGTGTGCATTAAACAAATGAAAAAGAATTCACTATGAGCACTCTCACTACATAGAATTAAATTAAAAAAAAACATCAACCACCAAGCTGTCTCCAAATATCCAATAAAAAACTAATTTATGCTCTGGAATTTAACTAACAATATACTTTAGAACATACTTTCTGGAAAAAAAATGCTCTGGAATCTAACTAACAATATACTTAAGAACATACTTTCTGGAAAACCGATAGATCATTAACATCATATATTCATATTATATGCAAATGTAAAGAGCTTGAAGCATAAATGTCTTCAGATGTAAAACCACTGGTTTATGAAGTAATGCATGAGAGGATGTCACCAAGCAAATTCACCACAGCATTTAGGCTCTCAGCCTGTCACAAACTAATGGTTAGGGGAAAAATAGGTCGGGCTGATAAGAATTTCAAACAAAAAGTGATCTCATATTGATTCCACCTGGATCCAGTCTAACCCTGATTAGTCCTACCACAGACAATAGGCCTCATGGCGCCTACAGATTTTTACACAATTGATAGAAAGAGCTTATCGAGCAATTCAATTGTTCATTAGTCCAAGAATATAACTTTCCTGATAAGAAAAGATAATGTAGGTTTTATGGCAACACCTATTTGTATCGGTAACAAAATTCAGTGAAATGAGATTCTATATATTCCATGTACACAAATCTCTTCATTTACAAAAAAAAAATCTAATCTCTTCATTCCTAAATCCGATCAATTAAACCCGGAAATTCCGAGTAGTTTTGGCAAACTATATTCTGAAAGAAAAAAAAACCTGGTTGAGTTGAGTGAACCCAGATAAGTGAAGGCAGTCTGAGTTGCTCTGATTCTGAGCTGTCTAAGAGCTTGTAACTTATTCATACTGATTGAAGATATCACTCGTAGAAAAATGTTGTCTCTATATCATAACCCCTCTAACGTTATCTAACCCGCAGATTTGAACTTGAATAGTGTTTTAAGCAATCATAGGATTTGAGAACGAGAGATGTTTGGTGTCACAAGATCTACCCCATTTTTATCTAAAATGAAACCATCCTTTAAATTAGTTGTCCCACTTAAATGAGTTGCTTCATTTGAGTCACACAATAGGAGTAACAATGGAGTATCTCATTTTAGAATACACATTGTTATGAATTCGGACCGGCTCAGACCTCAATCACTAAAAGCCCAAAGGCTTTGCTCACATTCACCACCAGAGTTACAACCAGAAAAGACGAAGGGCAACATCCAACGACCCTCACTCTCAGAACCCAGACCCCAGCCCAGAAGCCCCACCGGAGGAGTAAACAACCCACCACACTACCAGACTAGAATGAAGACCCCAATAGGAACCCCAAGGTCTCACCGGAGCATAGCCGGAGCTAAAGCTCAGAAGAAACCGGCACTCTCTCACTCTATGTCTAGGGTAACAGAACAAGAGCTTCATCGGATAGAGAGAAGAAGGAGCGAATGAAATAGGAGGTTCGAGAAGAACCAGACAAATATATCAAAGGGCCACAAAGGTTACGGGCTGGGTAGAATACAAATAGGGGGAGTGGGCTTGGTCGGGTAGACAGCCCAATTTGGGCCAGGGCAATAAATAGGAGACCAACTCCTTAAATGAGGTGGACCAAAGGTAACTCAGGGATGACCCTGTGAGGTGGACCAATACCAACTACAATCTCCACCTTATTGATCCCCCTCGTGGTGTAGAGCACAACGTGAAAGGGAGTATCATCGTCGCTGATTTTTCTTGTTTTTCTGTTCTTATCTAGCCACAATCTAAATTAAGAATACGTTTACACGACAACAGTTTTTCAAAAGTGAGACATTTAGTCCTCATATCAGCAAGGTTAAATTCAGAAGGTATCTTGGACAGCTTTATCCAACCTGCATCCACAATATTCCTTATAAAATGAAACCTGACATCAATGTGCTTGATCCTGTCGTGAAATACAGGATTTTTGCACAATTGGATAGCAGACTGGCTATCAGAGTAAACTGTCACAACCTGTTTAAGAAAACCAATTTCAGTTAGTATACGTTTAAGCCAAATAGCCTCTTTAAAGGCTTCAGTGGCTGCAACGTATTCAGATTCAGTAGTGGACAGTGCAACAATAGGTTGTAGTTGGGATTTCCAACTTATGCAGGAACCACAAAGAGTAAAAATATATGAAGTAGTAGACTTTCTATTGTCCCTATCATTTGCATAATTGGAGTCAACATAGCCAGTAAATAAAATGCCAGTTTCAGTTTTAGAAAACACAAGACCATGAGAAGATGTACCCTTAAGGTATCTAAGAAGCCATTTAAGGGCAGTCCAGTGAGACATACCAGGGTTTGCCATATATCTACTTAAGCAACTAACAGTGTGACACCGCACCCGGATGTACTTGAATTTGAAATTCGGTATGTATTTGAATTTTTCTAGGGAATGATTTCATTAAAAGAATGATGTATTTAATTAATAAATGATTAATTAAATTATTTATCGGGTCCATAATATTGAGAATGGGCTACCAAATATTTAGTTGGGTCATCGTAATAATTATAGAAGTCCAATAAATGTTAACTGGGGTGAGGATGATGTTTGGACAAACAAGTGCTATTTTGACCCAATCTGCCAGAAATAGCGGGAATAAGTGGGAGAGACTTTCTACACCCACTTGGGGTATCCTACACATTAAATAAACTCAAATAATAGGGAGGGGAGGCAACCACACATGGGCGATGCGTGTAAGGGGATGGGAAGTCTCATAGACACAAAACCCCCACACCCCATTCTTGGCCCTATCTTGAGAGTAGTTGGAAGGAGGTACTCCTCCTCTACCCTATACATTATTTCGACCAAAGCATAGACAGGGAGCTCTAGGGAGGCTTCTCACCAAGACCAAGCTCAAAGAAAGCAAGAAGGAAGGGAAATCCAAGAGGAAAAGCTAGAAGAAGGGGTAAGAACATAATTTCTACTCTTTTAACTAGATTTATTGTGTATGATTTTTAAGAAATCATATGGTGGATTAAACCATGAGTTCTACACGTTTAAAAGTGAAGAATATTGATATAAAGTGGTGGTAATTAAATTAGAAGGGTTGGCAAATTGATAGGAGTCGAAATCGCCGGAAACCGCCACTCCAAAGAAGCTGTTCGTAGTTGCAGACTACGAAAGCCGCCCGGCTTTTGACGAGCACTTTGTCACGGTGCGTCAAAATAAATTCAATACTATCACTAATACGTAGTAGAGTTCGTATCCACAGGGAAAGGAAATAATTCTCTTTTTATGAACTTAATAAAAAAAAGGGGGGTTTTGGGTTTGAATGATTTAATTTAATTAAGAACTAAGATGAACAACCTATATGTGTTTAATTCAAAGATAAAAAGGACTTGACATTGCTACTTTCCACTTGTTGATATATTTTAGTCGATCATTGTTATTTCTATAACTTATTCCCTCTCGAATACTCAATCGGGGAGTATATCCACTTCATCGAGGATAGTTATTAACAACAACCGTTCATTAATAACACTTACTATTAATCAAATATAGAACAACGCCTTATACCGATTTAATAGTAGCATTTAATCTTTCTAACTCCTTGATGAAATCAATTGAGATTGATAACCTCAACACAACGGTTTGGTTTAACCAATAAAATTAATCCCTCTTAAGTTTATTAACCACGACCGTGCATTAATAAACCGAAGTTACTTACTTGTGAAACCATCAACGATTAATCATCGGTTCGTTGATCGTTTCTAGTAATAATTAATATATGAAACAAAACTAGTTGATCCTTTAAGTAATGTTCAAAATATTAATATGAAATATGAGTAGGAATTAATTTATATTCAAGGAAGAATATTATTAAAGAAGATGAATCATACTATAATTAATATCAAGATGGTAACTAATTGTCATCTTAGCAACACTCCCCAACATTAATATAGAGGAAGAAAATACCATTCTAACTAATGTCGAGATGTTAACTAATTGTCATCTTAGCAACACTCCCCAACATTAATATAGAGATGGTATTAAGGAAAGAACTATTAATTAATATTCAAGGAAAGAAGTTAAGAAAATAACTCACAACTTTAATAATCAACAAGCTTCAAGAGCAACACCAAGAATGGAAGTTTAGCTCCTCATTTGGAGACTAAACATAGCTAGAAAAATATAAAGAAATGCTATTCTAAACTGAGCTTAGGAGTATGGAAGAAGGGATGATGAAAAGTGAAGGGAAATGGGGTTTTTATAGGTGTTTTCAACACCTATGGCCGAATACCCGACCGGGTATTTGACATACCCGACCGGGTATTTGTCAAATCAAATCTTTTTCCCACGTTTTTGTGTTCTTTTGCACGTCTTTCTGTCCGAAATCACTTCATACCCGACCGGGTATATGGAATACCCGACCGGGTATTTGATATAATTTCCCAGAAGCTTCCTCTTTCACTTCATACCCGGTTGGGTAAAGGCCATACCCGACCGGGTTTTGCATAAAACTCAGGTTTCTTCATCCTTTTTGCTTCCAAACCTATCCTAAACTTATAGCTCAACTAGCTACAACTTACAACAAACAATAAAATGCTAGAAATACGATTACAATCAAATGCAAACTAACAACTACAAACTTGCATAAAAACTAAATAAACATTACAAACATTAATAAAAATGTATATTTAAGCACTAACAACTAGTGTCTATCAGCTTTCGTGAAAGTCGCCCGGCTTTTGCCTAGCAGTCCAGTTTTCCACTTTCAATCGGCCTAGAACAGGGATTGATCGGGGGGCTTAACAAAGGCAACTATTGTAACACAGGTGAGGATGGCTGACTATATTGCTTATAATTAGTGAGTTAATTTCATAAGATTACCTAAGGTATTAAAAGTGATTTTTCATGGATTATTAATGAGTAATAATGCCTAAATGAAAATACTATTGAGATGAATAAGTGAAGCATGATATACAAATTTAGAATAAATTGTGTATGATAATGTGATATGAAAGGAATGACATGGTAATGGAATTAACTATGAAAAATATTGTGATAAAATATACTTTTACTTCATGTAAGGAATTCATGAATGGATAAAAGTGATATTTTTGATATTGAGGTTAAATCATATTTGGATTTGGAAATCAATTGAGATGAATTGTTTGGTTATAAATTAAGAACTTGGTTGTTCTAAGGTTATCCGACTAGTATTGAAATACTAGTCGGGAGGTTAATATAAATAAATGATGGAATTAATCCTAAGAGATAGGATTGTGAATAGAGATGCCTTAAGTAGTCTTAAGAGATACTTTAGGGTTGAATTGTATGAACACTAAGGTGTATTAGGGGTAAGCCTAAAGGCTACCCAAGTGAATTGATTCTAGGCATAGGATTTGCTTGAGAATTGGACTATGAAAAATAAATTAGTCAGACTCTAGGATTGCATGGAAATGTAGTTGGGCCGAGCCCTTGCCATGTATTGTGATTAACATGGAAATGTAGTTGGGTCGAGCCCTTGCCATGTATTTGGGATCTTCGTGGAAACGTAGTTGGGACGAGCCCTTGCCACGAAGTTGTGGTTAGTATGGAAATGTAGTTGGGCCGAGCCCTTGCCATACAATTTTAATGTGTTAAATTGAGTTGAAGGGTTGTATAGAAATGTAGTTGGGTCGAGCCCTTGCTATACAATCGGGACTCGAGGGAACCCTATGGGGTTGGCATGACTAGTAGTCACGAGGAATTAAAATGGTGAATTCTAAATGAATATGTGCCCATGGGCCGACTACTTGACTTTATATAAAGTAAGTACATTATTTTATAAAAGGGGTAACTGAGGGTTATGGCCTATAATATAATATCACCCTAGGTTGAGGGTCTTTGAAATTGAAACATTGATTATACTTAGTATAGTTGTCATTGTACTTGTCAAATGCTTCCAAGTACTGACCTCCCCTTCACGGGGGAGGCCACCTCACAGTTTCAGGTAGGAGTTGAACTTGCTACCATTGCCTGTGGCTTCGGGAAGATTCTAGGAGAGAAG